CTATAGTCGCATACATAAATAAATTTCTATATTGTTTGGGTAGTTCTAATCCTATAATTCCCAAGAGAAAAGCTTCTGGCTTTTTTTACTAATGTTATCTTAAACATCTTTTTCAATTCATTATATATCATCATTTCCCAGTAAGCTTTAACAAGACCACCACATGTGAAAAAGGTGCCTTCTTTCTATTTACATTTCCAACACTTATTTGACTTTGATTTATACATTTTTGCCAATCTACTAGGTTTTAGGTACCATTTATATAGCATTTTCATATGATTTTGACTTAAACCATAACATGCTGTAAATTTTATATCTGTATTCTATAATCGTTCCCATGCTTCCATTTCTATATTATGCCTAATATCTATTGCCCAGTCTATCACTGAAGATTTCACTTCTTCATCCTTTGTCTCCCAGCCCAAGAGCATCTTGTACATTTTAGACATCACTTTAACATTACAATTTAACATGTCTCTCTCTAATTGTGATAGTTTTCCCCAAACCCCCGCTTCATATCCTTTCTAAATATTTCATTCAAATGATATTGTTACTATTTTGTTACCATTCGTGGTAAATCCTTAAACTCTTTTAATTTAAATTATCCACCCTCTTCTCTTAGCAAATTTCTATAAGTCGCCCAACTTTCCGGCATATTTTCCTTTGCACTGCTATGGCTTCAAAAGGTGAAAGCCAAAGTGGTGTTTTAGTTTCCAATAAAAATTTGTATTTGTCCCATATTCTATACAAATTTTTCCTAATTATATTGTTTGTAAAACCTTTATGTACTTTCACCTTTTCATACCACAAATAAGCGTGCCAACCAAAAATATTATCATGATCTTCCAAATCTGGGGTTGTTATTGTTTTAGGGTTTGTTTGTTTTTTGCCTGCTACGGGCTTATAAAGTATTACATAGGCAAACAAATATTCCAAATCCCCTAAAATATCACTGGCAGTGTCTTCTGAATTTTATTGACTCCAAATGTTGCCATTCTATAACCATCAAGTGTGCAAAGGTAAAGGAAGTGTGATTGTTTCTACAATTTTTAGTCTTAGACCAAAGATTCCCCAGACACATTTCCCTGCATGTCCACTTCCATTAAAATCTACGCACATGCACCTGTGAAACAGATGACCAGCACAGTTGGTGAAGCTCTGAGAGTGCCCGTCACCTGTTTGAAGGATAGGCTAGATTTGGTCCTCTTCTCCCTAGAAGGAACCAGTGCTTTCAACCTCGCCGTGCTGATGCCATCAGGGATGTATATTGGACTGAGTCAGAACATACCAGCATGCAGCCATAGGTGCCATACACGGAAGATTTTTACGGTGTGCAGCAAAAGCTGCAAGGAATGTGACCCAGCAAAGAAAACAGTATGTGGAAGCTGCTCCAGGCACATTGCCTCTGCTAGATAGCAGTGAGAGTCGGGGTTCTTATCAATGTTACGCAATATCATAGTTATTACCCTCAGGTTTTATTAAATCAGAAATCCATAAATACATGAAAAGAGCAGACTCATCACCTCTTTACAAACTTGCCAGCTTGGAAATATAAAAAAGCAAAGGGGGGGGGGGAGAGAACATGCCAAACAGAAGTAAAGTGTTTGCTAAACTAAACTGTGTTCAGGCAATGAAGCATACCTGTGTTCAGGTTGTCAACAATTAAAGTTAATCACCGTTTTCTTATTGCTGTTAAGATTCATATAGGGGGGGAAATGAAACAAAAACCCAACGGGAAAAGTTTGAGGCAGGAAAACATAGGGACAGTGGCATATAGAAGAAGTTAGATCTAACAATTCTCCAACAAAGAAATTTACTTGCTTAAATATATGCTACGCTCTAGGACTCAGTCCTAAAAAGAAAGCGACTTCTTAATTTTAAAAATACATAGATGAAAAAAGATGCTCAAAACCTGGAACTGTAAAATGAAAAAGTAGAGATGAAGAAACCCTATATTTCCACTGCCATGCTGGACTTCCAAATATGATAGCAAACTGGAACATCTGTTCGTATTTGATCTCTTAGCAAGTAATACTTGAAATTGTGGAATGCTTAAACAGTAAAACTACAAATCAGTAAAATGGTTTCAGTTGCAACTGTAATAACCCAGATTGCAAAATAAACTTCAGTATATTTCAATGATGATGGTGATGGGAAGACATCCCAAATTCTACACGCTCTTACTGTCCATGTATAATGGACCTGAAAAAGTTAGCCAAGCATTGCTCAAACTGCCTTGGCAATGAATAAAGAGGAAATAATAAACTTGAAAAAGGGATTTTGTATTTTAGCCCATATTTGTGTCTCCCAGGCAAGCTGGTATTAAGGGTCACTTCCCATATACGGAGAAAACAATTTTTGTGGATAATAATGATAAAACCTTATGGAATGCAGCAACAACCAAAAAATGTATTCTCAGATGACTGCATTGGGGCCAAGTCAATATTAGTCCCACTTCACCCACGCACAAGCATAGTCTAAAAATGCTGTCAGCCTGATAAGAATTTCCTGATTTACTTTGTTACATCAGATTCTTAAGTTAAAGGGTAAAAACAGCCCTTGCCGCTTTACTAGAAGAACAAGATGTTTGACTGTCTTTAAACAACAACAACCCTCTTCTCCTTTAGATCTGCAAAAGAACTTAGTACTTTAAAACAGCACTGTAACAAAAAAACAGAGTATTGGGGCTTGTTTTATCAAGTGAGGTGTCCTGCACACCAATTAGACATCCTGTGCAACTTTGTGAATGTTTACTCGGAAGCAAGTTATACTGTGTTCAGTAGGACATAGTACATGTGTTCAGGGTTGCAGCCATAGTAATAATATGCAGAACATACAACTAGGCCATTGTTATAGTTAATTACAATGAATTATGCTTGGTATAGAAATAACACTGTTTACACCCACAAAGCAATGCTCTCAATTAAAAACCCAAATGAAGCAATTAAAACAGTAAAGGCAGTAAAGGTTGCAATCCTATACAGGCTTAACTCCCATTGAAGTTAATAGGGCTTACTTTTGAGTTGACCTGTGTAGGACTACTGAAAGACTTGTGGCACCTCAATGTAACAGATTTGTTGCAGAATAAGTTTTTGTGTAGTAGAGCCCACTTTATCAGATACATCTGATGAAGAGGACTTTCTTCAGTTCACAAAAGTGTAAACCCAAATTAATCTGGTAGTCGTAAAGTACCACAAAACTCTTCTGTTGTACGTTTTGCTCCAACATACAGACCCATTTAACTCTGCAATTACAAAAATGACTTTCTGGCTATGGTCTTGAACGGGGCAACACCTACAACTGACCAGGATAGCAAGTTTAAGGAGCGCACATTTACTTGGAAGTAAACCCCTACATACCACAATCCCAAATTACATTGTATGGACAGGAAGATCTCCCTCCAAAGCAGCTGTGTTCCGAGTATGTCTGTTAGAATCAACGAGACTAACTCGCAAACAAACAGATCTCGCAATCCATCCCATTGTAATTAGAAATAAGTTCCACTGAAAGCAATGGAGCTTGCTTTCGAAAGCATACCTTCAGAAGTCAGAGCACAAATGCAATCTTCCTAAAGGGCACTATCCCAGCATTAATTCAGAATTCGGGGGGCGGGGACCAGATGAGCAAAACCAAGGTGCGATAATCTAGCGCCCCAAACGTGTCTGCGCCCAGCGATCTCGTCAGGCGCCATGCCTAAGTAACGCGGACGAGCTCTCCTCCGCTTTCCCGTGCGCAACTTTGGCCAGGACTCAGCCCTGCGCGATCTTTTCTAGGAGCGGGGCCGAGGCCGGGGCTGCCCTGGCCCTCAGGTGCCGGAGGACGGGCGCAGACGGCCAAGAAGAAGCGCTTCCCGCTTACCTCGCGAGGCTCTCGCAACCCGAGTGGCTGTCGAGAAAGCGAGTCCCGCAAGGGTCCGGCCACAGAGTCGGGGCAACCCGAGTCACTCGGCTGGATCCAGAAAAGGACATACACTCGAGACCCTGGGGTCCAAAGCAGTCTCAAGTATATTCACACGCACGCCCAACTTTCCCCGCTCTCGCGCGCGCTTTTAAGACGCACAGACACGCGTCGTCGAGGTCCAGACGTTCACCTCTCTCATTGCCGCCTTTCCCCTCCCAGACCCACTTCCGCACAGTCACGAGCAAGTGAGGTAACTCGCCAGAGGGGGCAATCCTGCGGGCACCACTAAAGGACACCGTCCCGTCGAAGAAGTCTGTTTCTGCTATTTGAGCTTCTAGAAAGCGCCAAGAAACTTCCGCGTCAGAGCCTAAGGTGACTTGGAGCGCCTCTGCTGCTGCTTTCAGGGAGCTGGAGGTCGTGAAAACCCGCTCCGTCTAGGTCCCAGTCGCAGCTTGACACTCTCACGCCCCACACCCCTGACCTCCAGGTGTGCTCTCTGTTCACAGGCCGGCGCGCCTGACATTCCCCCCTCGGCTGGGGCTCGGTCCCCCTCTCCGCCACCCCGCCCAGGTACACACACACACACACACACACGTGGTGGCAAACAGCCCCGATGCCTTGTCTGTCACAAGTAGTGACAGGCAGTGTGTGCCGCACCCAAGGGAATGTATGTGCCGGCGACGTGGGAGAGACAAAGCGGGCGTCTGTGCGAGAAAGAGCGGGTGACCGTGAAGAAGGACATAAACATTCCTAAGATACGAGGAGTGACGCACATCGACGTTTGTGTCAACACTCGCTTAGAGGCACAAATACTCAAGGCACAGGTCGTCGCACGCGCTTAGGACATCGCGCACGCTGGAGCCTCGTTCACACGTGCATCACCCCCTGCCCGCTGCATCCGTCACTCGCACATACCGGAATTAGGGCCATGAGCTGGCGACCTGGCTCAGGTTCATCACAGACACGTGTAAAACCAGCGGGAGAGTCGCTCGGAGAAGCGGCTCGCTTCATCCCGACTGAGCCGCCCCGTCTGGTCTTCTCCCACCCCGCTCCTAGAATGGAGCCTGTCCCGCCTCCTGCGCGCCCGGCGAGGGTCTCACCTGCTGGCTGTGCGCGAAGGGCGGCGCAGGAAAGGCGGCGGGGGCGGCGGGACCCGCAGCTACGGCGCCGGGCAGCTTGAGCTGGGGCGGGCAGCACGTCGCCTGCGGCTGGTGCCTCACCACGTCGGAGCAGCTCATGGCAGCCGCCGCGGGACCGGCTAATGCCAGCGTCCGGAGAAGCGGGAGCCGAGCCTTCCAGCCACCGGTGCCGGTCGCCGCGCTGCCTTCTCCCATCCGGGCTCGGGCGCGGAGCCTGGGGCTGCGGAGGCCAGTGGCGGAGGCGCCGTCATCTTCGGGAATCTCGGGGAGCCGCCGCGGCGCTTAAATAGAAGCCGGGTTGCCTTGGGCGGAGGAGGCAGCGCAGCCCGGGGAGGCAGAGCAGGGGCAGCACGCCTCCGCCGCCCTGATTATCATAGACACAATGAGGGGCTGTCGCGCTCTGCCAATAGCTGCCCGGGCGCGGGGGAGCCGCGGCCCAACTTGGCAAACTCCGCCCCGCAGCCTTCGGATTGGCTCAAAGTTGGTGTCCGGACAGAGCGGGCTGGGAAGGGGATTGGCCGAGAAAGAAGGCGCGGAGAGAAAAAAGAAGGCGCCGACTCCGCCTCTTTTGCCGCGTGAGTTTCCCACGTCGCCCGCGAAGGCAGCGGCGCCTGGAGAGAACGAGGGAGGCGTTTGGGAAAGCGAGGCAACCGATGCGCGGGAGGAGAAGGGGAGGCGAGCTTGGCAACTGGGATCGTGCTGACAGAGCGGCTTGGTCAGGGACCTGGTCGGTAAGGGTGCAACTGCAGGTGAGGTGAAAGAAAGTGTTGGGGAAAAGGGGTAGGCAGGTCGCCAAAGACCCTTCACCTGAGTCCCTATAATTAAGGGTTTTAATTAGACAATATGAGCCCTGCCAATGCTTTTTTTCTTAAAATATATTTAGGGGTAGTCTCATTTTGACTCAAGAAAATCACCATTTTTTAGTTCAAATCGGGGAAAAGAAATACAGTAAATGGACAAAAGTACAAAGATTCACAAAATGTTTAGGGGTATGCATACCCCTGCGTCCCCCCAAGGAAAAAAAACACTGGGTCCTGGTATCTCATGAAGCAGGCAGGGCAGGCAAAAGTCATTTTGGCACCTGAGGTGAAGATCTGCATCAGGAACAAGGGTGTAAAGAGACCAGCATCACCTCCTATTGGCTAAGCGCCTCCTATTGGCCAGCAGGGCAGCAGCAGCAACAGGTGGTGCATTCCTTGGAGCACAGATCTGTTGCCACAGTGGATCTTGCCACCTGAGGGGATTGCCTCATAGGTGTGCTGGCCCTGTCATGAAGAATTCCAGAAAAGCTCTTCTTCTTCCTCACTTCTGCATAATAAGGAGATGTTTTGCGTGGCATTTTTAGTATTCATTTACCCAAAGAACATCTTTCTTTCCTGTTCAGGATTCCTGTTCCTCAGCTTGCAAACTTGCCATTAAAAGAGGTAAGAGATGATACAGTATCTTCCCTTAAATGTTTCACAGTAATTTCAAAAAGAAACATTGTTCTTCACTGAATGCAAGCAGAATATAAACTCGGAAGCAGCACTCGGAAGAAGCCTTATTTTGTATCCAAATGCAAGAACAAGTTTGCACATGCTAACCCAAAGCAGCGTTTAGCGTGAACAAGCAAAAGTGGAGGAAGCGGCTTTCTCCCTCCCTGCCAGTCTTGTTGTGATTGCACTACCAAGGGCTAAGCAACAGTTTGCCTTAGCATTATGTCCAAACACAGACTGTAGCTAAGGTTGGTTACTGGTTTACACTAATCGTTCCTCTGTGAGCCCAGGTTCAGATGTAATACTTAGCCAAGTGTAACGACTAAGAGAGGGATGATGGAGCCACCATCTTCACTCTGGGAGCCATCATGTTTACATGCTCACGCTAAGGCATGATCAAGTGCAAACTGGGTCTCACTGAGACAGTAGCATTGTCCTCAATATAAAAAACTGAAATTCTGCATCATCTGTGCAGTGCGATGAACCAATCTCGTAGCTTCCAAATTCAAGCTTTTTCACTGCTGCACACTTGTCAGAACTTCAGACTGAAGATTATGCTGATCTATAAGGACATAACATGAATAATTTAAACAAACCCTTTCCAGACAAAATTAAGATAATGTATGCTTCCTCTTTTCCAGATATGTCCCTTGTATGGCCATCTGAGCATTTTTGCTAAAGTTATGTAACATTCCTCAAAACTGAAAGCAAATGGGAGTTCAGTGAGACTTAACTGAACATTTCTGTCAGGTGATGTTCTACTCTGTGCAGGGCAGCTGCAATCTTAGAGGTCTTTTTATGTTGGTCCTTTTATTATAATTATAGGGTTAGAAATAAAGCATTTTTTAAAAAATAAAAAAGCATATAAGCTAATATTTTTCATTCTAGAACGTCAGAAATAAAATCAGTTTTCTCACAAAATTGTTGTTTGCCTCATTTGCTGCTTCTTTCACTTTTATGCAGTTTTATTACTGACATTTTTGCCCTGTTCAACTATGAAGCATGAATAGGATAGGGTGGCCTTTACTCACATGAAAGTTTCGTATTTAAAAGTCCCCGATCTTCCTGCACTGTATGGGGGAAAGTCCTTTGAGGACTCTTGAACATCAGGAGAAATCTCCACATGGCTGGGGACCCTGCTTTATTGGGGTCCCCAATTGCAAAGAGGCTTACTTTATTACTTATTTAGACTACACACAAAAACAAACAAACAACAACAAACATATGCAATGTACTGAAAACAAAAACAGCTACAGATAACTTAATAACAAATGTTACAAAAATACAGACAGTTCCTGTGAAAATGCTGCAGTCATACAAATTACTGATAAATATAGATGAATATCAATTCCTTCTGCTTCTAATACACACCCTGCATAATGCAGTGCTAGGGATAATATCTGGTACACTGCAGGGTTAAAGAAGGAAAGGACAGAAAAGTTAGATAAGGAAAATGGGAGAAAGAAGGGTTTCTGCCCACCCAACCTTCTTAAAATGAAAAAGGTCCTTCTCACACGACCACCCTCCTCTAACAATGGACCAATCTGTCTTTGATCCTTTTCCCCCAAACTCCCAAAGTGTGTAACTTATGCCCACTGATTTCATTTTCCTTCTCTGGGGCCTGGCTTTGGGACTCTATGCCCAGACATTTTGCTGGCGCTGCATGTTTGGATTTGGATTTGATATCCCGCCTTTCACTCCCTTCAGGAGTCTCAAAGCGGCTAACATTCTCCTTTCCCTTCCTCCCCCACAACAAACACTCGGTGAGGTGAGTGGGGCTGAGAGACTTCAAAGAAGTGTAACTGGCCCAAGGTCACCCAGCAGCTGCATGTGGAGGAGCAGAGACGCGAACCCGGTTCCCCAGATTACGAGACTACCGCTCTTAACCACTACACCACACTGGCTCATGTTGTCTTTGGGCACCAGGTAAACCCCTTGTCATTTCCCCATAAATGATTTATTTATGTCACAGTATTTATATAGCTGCTGCATAAACAGAAATTCTTGGGGTGGATCACAATGCAAAATAGGAAATAAAAAACAATGCAATATTACAACATAGCACAAAACTGTAGCAAAAAAAAAAAAAAAATACCGAGAGACTCAGACTGTGAAATATTTGCTGTTTTAAAGAGGTGCTGCCAAAAAGAAGGCTCTTCAAAACTGGGGTGCCTCTGCCAAGAAGGTCTCATGCTGCTGGTTATCGGTCTTATTTATCAGACAGAAGCACCTGGAGAAGGGTCCTCTCAAGAGGGTCTTGATGTTCAGGTTGAAAGAAGATGATCTTTCAGATAAGTTGGTTCCAAGCAGTTCAGGGCTTCAAATTGAGACTCAAAATTGCCTGGGAGCCACTGTAGCTGACAAAGCAGTAGCACTGGTGTAATATGGTCAAACCATGCAGCTCCAGTTAATAATCTTGTGACCCTATTCTAGACCAAATGCCGTTTTCAAATCATTTTCCAAGGCAGCTGTTCTGCTCTACTTTAATATAATTGATTTTTATGTCTTTTTTTTTTAAAGGAATGCGCTGTTAAAAGAGCAGAGTATTAAAGTTACTAGTCTTAATAGAGTTAGTAATTTTCAAAGTAGACCCACAGAAATAAAGAAGCCCAAGTTAGTCATACTCGTTAATTTCAATGGTCCTGCTCTTGAGGATGTCTAACATTAGCTACAACCCAATAGAAAGATGCTTGCTGTTGCTTTCAGATTGAAAGATAATATAGACTTTTATATTGTATTTTATATCAATTTTACAACAATGCCAATCAGAGCACGTTTGGGCAAGGTGAGAAAATGTCTGGGACTGGGTGCTCTTTCTGCGCATGCACTGCTTATCTTTATTTTCTTATTTCCATTAGGCTGCAGCATAGATAGGGAGTGCATTAATGGAGAGATGAGAGAAGCCCTTGAGTTATTTGTAAATGGAATTGATGCAGGGAAACAGCAGCAAAAGAGCTTTCATATATCTCGGTATCTACTACAGTATTAAGAGTCTAGTTCTGGCTGCTAAAAGGGGGGGGGGGATTTAGCATTCGGACTGGTTCTATCCCCTGTCACTAAGCACTAGCTTTTATCAAACATCTAGAGTTTATTTGAAGCCTGACATGTGAGGACTTGAACCTGCTTTTTAATAGAAGAATAAAGGCCAACATTCTAAACACACTTACTAGGGAATAAGCCCCATTGGGTGCAGCAGGTCTTGATTCTGAGCAGAAATGACTGGGCTGCCAAACAGAAAGTGCTTTTGAAGTTTTTCATGTACTTTTTTCTCACTGCAAAGCATCCAGGGACTTCTTCAGCCCAGTGGTCCTATTCAAGGGTTTGAACTAGATGAGATCCAGGAGACCGATGGTGTAGTTTCCTGATCTTTCCTTTGTTTGCTTATTAAGATTTATTAACCCACCTTCCGGGACGCTGGTGGTGCTGTGGTCTAAATCACTGAACCTAGGGCTTGCAAATCAGAAGGTTGGCGGTGCAATTCCCCACGACAGGGTGAGCTCCCGTTGCTCTGTCCCAGCTCCTGCCCACCTAGCAGTTTGAAAGCATGTCAAGTGCAAGTAGATAAATAGGTACCGCTCTGGCTGGAAGGTAAGCGGGATTTCCATGTGCTGCTCTGGTTCACCAGAAGCGGCTTAGTCATGCTGGCCACATGACCCAGAAGCTGTCTGTGCCTATAGAGCGAGATGAGCGCCGCAACTCCAGAGTCATCCACCACTGGACCTAATGGTCAGGGGTACCTTTACCTTTAACCCACCTTCCAGGGCATAGCACTTACAAGGCATTGTACAGAAAGATGAATAAAATCATACAAAATCAGCTTTGCCGCTTACTAAAACTGTCTCATGAATTAATGAGCCACAACAGTAAACTCAGGAAGCAACACACCCACCAAATATAGAGTGAAAAGTGTGGGGGGCAGCAGGGAGTCCTCAGGATCTTCTTAAAAGCAAATACTGGTGGGACCATGCATAGTTTCCTGCGAAAGGAATTCCAAAGCTGTGGGACCACCACCAAAAAGGACCTGTGTCTAGTATCCACAAAGCTAACAAACTAATGGTGATCCAGGTAAGGTAAAGGTAAAGGTACCCCTGCCCGTACGGGCCAGTCTTGACAGACTCTAGGGTTGTGCACTCATCTCACTCTAGAGGCCGGAAGCCGGCGCCGTCCGCAGACACTTCTGGGTCACGTGGCCAGCGTGACATCGCTGCTCTGGCTAGCCTGCAGCAGCGCAGCACACGGAACGCCGTTTACCTTCCCGCTATAAAGCGGTACCTATTTATCTACTTGCACTTTTAGGCGTGCTTTCGAACTGCTGGGTTGGGCAGGAGCTGGGACCGAAGGACA